CCTTACCAGCGATCCCACTGTTGGTCTCACTCTCGATCACACAATCGATCCAAATATCCATATCACGGATTTCAAACCATCCACTGATTGGGCTTTCTCCCTGGTGCAATCGGAGGTGAGGGGGTGAGATCGAAGTGGAACGGAGAGCCCACCTACCGGGAAATCGATCGGTTTCGTGTTCGTGCGTGCCGTGCGCGCGGGCGAGGCGAAGCTGCGTGGGCGGGCGAGAGGAAAGTCTCCTGTGGCTGAGGCGCGGCCGGACCAAATGTGTCTCTGCCGGGCGGCCGGTGGCGCGCGGTGTCCCGCCGGTGTCCCGCTGGTGTCCCGTCGGTGTCCCTGTGGCTGAGGCGCGGCCGGACCAAATGTGTCTCTGCCGGGCGGCCGGTGGCGCGCGGTGTCCCCCCGGTGTCCCGCTGGTGTCCCGTCGGTGTCCCTGTGGCTGAGGCGCGGCCGGACCAAATGTGTCTCTGCCGGGCGGCCGGTGGCGCGCGGTGTCCCGCCGGTGTCCTGCCGGTGACCCGTCGGTGTCCCGTCGGTGTCCCGATGATGATGTGGATGATGATGATGATGATGATGATGATGATGATGATGCTGATGATGATGATGATGGTGATGATGGTGATGATGATGATGGTGGTGATGATGGTGTTGATGATGGCGATGATGATGATGATGATGATGATGATGTTGATGTTGATGATGATGATGATGACGACGTCGATTGTGAGATGATTTGATACGTGATGTTGATGATGATGTTGATGATGATGATGATTGTGATGATGGTGATGATGATGATGTTGATGATGATGATGTTGATACGTGATGTTGATGATGATGATTGTGATGATGGTGATGATGATGATGGTGGTGTCCCGATAATGTTGATGACCGTGATGATGATGATGATGATGATGATGATGATGATGTTGGTGTTGATGATGAGGACGGTGTCCCGATTATGATGATGTTGGTGATGATGATGTTGATGTTGATGTTGTTGTTGATGATGATGACGTTGATTGTGAGAGCGGTTGTGATATCGATAGTGAGATCGATAGTGAGACATAATGTGATATCGATTGTGAGATCGATTGTGAGATCGATTGTGAGATCGATAGTCAGATCAATTGTGAGAAAGATCGAGTGAGATCGATTGTGAGATCGATCGAGGGAGATCGATCGAGCGAGACCGATACTGAGATCGATAGTGAGATCGATAGTGAGACCGATCGAGTGAGACGTTGGTTCCCCCCCCCCCGAACCTCCTTATCACCCGAAGGGTGGTCGTATAGGTATTAGTTTTTCAAACCAGGCCCTTCATCTGGATAATCAGGGCATTGTTTGTTTTTGGCGAGGGGGGACAGTGCGCGATTCAGTTTTTGCTCGGAGTCAGACATTGGGGTGCCCATCTAGCATGCTGCTCTTTGCCTTGGCCATTGGTCCTTGTATTCGTTGCATGGGTGGCCGTTCCATTCGGGTGATCCTCGCCCGCGCTGACGGTCTGCGGTTTGGATTAAGGGGCGTTCTCCTGGTGCTCCCCCTTCTCGTTCCGCTGGGATGTCCCTGGTTGGTAGTGCGGGGTTGGTATCGAATCTTGGAAAGTGCGAGCTGATCCGCCGCGGGCGTTTTATTCGGCGGCGGTTTCCAGCAGCCCGCTCGGAGGCTGCTGGGTAGCTTGGGCGAGGGTGGTCACGTGATCCAGCTTGTCAGGCGCGCGCGCGCGTCCCGGGCGGTTTTCTTAGGAATCAGCCCTTCGGGAGCGCCACCAGCGCCGCATCGAAATCCGGCGCCCCAAACGCGCCCCCCCATGGCAATCAGGGCTTGCATGATCTACGCCGAACCAGTGGCTGGGCCCCGCTTCTCGCCTTTCAACCTTCTGATGTGCACGCGCACGCGGGATCTTGGTCTGAGCTTGGAGTTTTCTTCCATCTCCTCTAATGGTGAGGTTATTCAATTGCGACTTGCCCACTACACCGCCGCCTTTTCTAAGCCAAAACTGCTGATGGCGAGTTTACAGTTTCAGGACATTTTCCGCTGTGCGCCCCTACGCTTTGAATTGTGGGGGCACGCGTCCGTTCGATCGCTCCTGGAAAAGGGGCTGTCTTTCATCCGTGAGTGTCGAGGCGTCCTGCAGGCGAACGGGTTCCAACCGAAATTTCGCGGAAGGTTCGTGGTGGTGCCCCGCCCATCCATCCCGCTTGTGAGGTGTTTCTCCTAATTCTAGACGCTTCGCGTATCCCCACCAGCCCATCCAGAAACGACGCCCAGGCGAGTAAAGGGTCGTCCTGAGGGGCTTTTCGGCGTCTTGGGTGCCTCGGGGGGGCCTCTTTGGGCCGCTTGTGATCCTCTCGGGGGCCTCCTCGGGCCTCTTGGGGCCTCTTGGGACCATCTTGGGGCCTATAGTAGGGCCTCCTGGGCGCTTCTTGGGGCCATCTTGGAGGACATCGATCAAAGAAGAGGGGAGCTTCAATTAGGGCTGCCCCCTCAGGAGGCCAAA